TTATTTATTTATTTGGGTTGATTATTTTTACTTGTTTTTGATTATTTTTGTTTATTTTCATTAGTTCTAGCGGTTATTTTTGCGGGAGCGATTTGTTAATTTGTTAATTTATTTATTAGGATTAGTTTTTTCTTATTTATTTCCTCATTATTTATTTTGTATATTTTTATTTTTTAGTTACTCTATTTGGATTTCGATTTTTTTTATCATTATATAGCAGTTATAGGTATTTGCTCGTCCAATTTTTGGATTGATTGCTTTGTAATCTATTCTAACGGTTATTCGTTTGTTAATTTGTTTATTGTTTACTTTATTTATTTGGATTGATTATTTTTACTTATATTTTATGTATTTTTTTTATTTGATCTATTTTGTCTATCCTAACAGGAGCGGTTTGTTAATTGATTTATTATTTGCTTGGGTTAATTTATCTTACATGGTTTTTATATTATTTTATTTATTTTTATTTATTCTTTTCAGTTTTCGATTTTTAAGTAACGTAGTAAAAATTTGTTTTCATGTCTGCATTTTGAGATGAGCTCAGATCGTTTGTATAGTATATGATTAAAGAAGAAATAAAATGAGTGACATTTAAAAAAAGCCGTTAATATTTATTCTGTATCTTTTATTTCTAATTTATTTGTAATTCATCTCGAAAGTTGTTAATATATTTCCAGCTTTTATGTATCCAATTAAAAGCAAACCCTCATTTCATTTCCAGAATGGCTCGAAGGCTTTTCATTTCATTGATTTTCATTGAATTTCAGAATGCTTTCAAGATATTCTTAAATGATTACTTCCTTTAATCGTTTAAATGATCTATACAAATAAAATATTTATCTAGATCTAGACAAAATTAGTTCCCGAGCAATATGAACGATTTAATTAATCAGTTCCTTTACTCTTTCGTTTCTTAGATTACAGTCTTATTTGTTCAAGCTTTTCATGTGAGGAACTCAGGTACCTTTGTGTATTAAGTAATCGTCTTGCTTCAACTCGGTCTTGAAATATGCTTTATCGTCGCAGTTTTTGTCGTTCTGTTGCTAATCTTTTTCTTCCGTTAACATGAAAAGATATTGAGCAACAAGCGATTTATATATAATACCAGGGGGAAATAATGAATCATAGATATAAAAATAAAGGGGACGGATTAATTGGCCTCTATTTTAGGCATCCAAGTTAGGAATTAGGTTTAGTCATATGTAAATTCCTTTTTGGAGAAACCGTTTTAATAAAGAATATATCATCCTTATTACCAATCATACCTGGCTGTTAAGAATAAATCTGTAATGCACTAACATTTGTTAGTGTTTAAACCACAGTGGAAGCGTACATTATCAACATCATCATCACCATCTCCTTGACTTTTGTAATCGTAGGGCCGATCCGAATGCAGAAGCCATATTGAATCTCCTCCACAGAGGTCTATCAACGGAAGCTATCAGCAATTATGATACAGACATACCTGTCCATTGTCTGACATTGTCCAATCAGTTTTTGCATTTGCGTCCTCTCCTACGTCCACCTTCAACAGTGCCTTTGCATGATGGTCTTGCACAGGCTGTCGTGCCTTGTAATGTGTCCAAACCACGTCATTTTTCACAGTTTGGCAATGGCGAGAAGAGGTTCCTAGTGGCCCATATAAATTTCAATCCGTTTTTTTATTAGTTTTATGTTCCCAAAAGAAGATGCCAAGGCGTTTTTTCACGCATTTGTCCTCAAACCCTTGGACCCTTCTCTCTGTTTCTGCCAACAGTGTCCACGTTTCACATCCATATATCCCACACACTAAGAAGAACTTTGTCCATGTAACGCTAATGATGTTATGGGAGTTAGAAAAACGAATAATGAAATGTAGCCATAGCAACGCTCCCCTACCTGCCTTAGGTCTTCCTGCAGATTTGGTAGGTCATGTGACCATAGCAGAAATCAAAAGATAATCTCTATCTATAAAAGGCAGGATGTGTGTGTGTGTGTGTGTGTGTGTGTGTGTGTGTGTGTGTGTGTGTGTGTGTGTGTGTGTGATGAATGCACGGCCGCAATTTTCGACGTATTTGCACCAAAATTTACATGCACATGCTCCAAGTTAGCGGGAAGACCAAGATCGACTTTGCATTTCCCAACTCCCATCGATAGTGGAAATAATCGATTTATTCATGCATCTACGGCAATTTTCATGTAGTTTGAGGCCATTTTCTACTGACCAGAGTGAAAGCCAATAGCTGGCTGCCACGAATAGGCAGGAAGATTCTATTGGCCAACGTGAGACCCAACAGCTGACTGACACGAATGCCAAAAAAAATTGTAATCGTAGGTGGGAATCCAGATGCAGAAATCATACTAACTCTTTTCCACAACGGTCTATCAACGACAGCCATTATCAATTCTGGTATAGTCATACCTGTCAATTGTTTGACATTGTCCAACCAGGTTTTGCGTTGTCGCTCTCTCCTACGTCCACCTTCAGCGGTGCATTGCATGATGGTCTTGAATAGACTGACGTGCATTGTAATGTATCCAAAGCACGCCATTTTTCTCCATTTTGACAGTGGCAATAAGAGGTTCCTGGTGTTACACAAAACTTTCAACTCTTTTCTGCACAAACTCATTTGTTTCATGTTCCCAATAGAAGATGCCAAACAGTTTTCTTATGCATTTGTTCTCAAACGCTTGGACCCTTCTCTCTGTTTCTGCCAACAGTGTCCACGTTTCACATCCATATATCCCATACACTAAGAATAACTTTGTCCATGTAACGCTAATGATGTTATGGGAGTTAGAAAAACAAATAATGAAATGTAGCCATAGCAACACTCCCCTACCTGCCTTAGGTCTTCCTGCACATTTGGTAGGTCATGTGACCATAGCAGAAATCGAAATAATAATAATAATAATAATATGATGACCTTGAGTGGCTCCTGAGCCTTCATTTACAAACCTTATGTTCCCAATAGAAGATGCCAAGTTGTTTTCTCATGCATCTGTTCTCAAACGCTTGGATCCTTCTCACTGTTTCTGCCAAGTGTCCACGCTTCACATCCATATTGGAGAATGGAGACTAACAGCGATTTATGAACTCTGTACTTCGTCTGAAAACTAATTTTGCCCCTCCATCTTCTTGCCAATTTGGCCATCGCTGCATACGAGATATATTAACAAATAAATTTCTTAACCCCATAAATGGACGGATAGAAAATGGATTGACGCTGCATAATCTTACTGGTGTTCAAGAAAGTGAATAACGCTATAGAGGCCTGAAGAAAAATACGTACGGTCAAGGAGTGATGACTGATCGATTTCCCTCCTTTTGGCCTTGTGCCACCTTTTTGTATTTTATGGAGACATACAGGGTGTAACAGCAAAATTGTCCCACTCGTGCAACAGCAAGATTGTCCAATAGTGAGATTAAGCTTTGTACCGTTGTATATTAGAAATGATTAAAGTTATCTTACTGGAATTGTTTTTATGACATTATTGGACTCTGCGTTGAACAATACGAATATATTTAGCTCTAAATTGCGACGGTGATCCCTCTTGCTTTTGTGACCTCCTTTCGACTGTTCTCTCTTTTATAAATTTATTTACCGTTCTCTTGATGGTTCTTGAATGGACTTTGAAGATGGAACCAGAGTATGAATGTTGGTACCATTACTGAAGTTCATATATATATATATATATATATATATATATATATATATATATATATATATATATATTATTCCAGGATCATTTCGCTCTCTCTAGCCTTCTAACTTTCTGTCTTGGTTTAACGAACTGCCTTACAGGTTTCACGTACGATTTCATTTTCAAGTCTTTTTTCACTGCTCTTTGGACTGTCATAGCTGAAACTTCTCTCTCATATGCCAAACGTCTTACGGATTGAGTTGGATCTTTTCTAATTGATCTCTTTAGCTCTAAGTTGAAATGATGATCCCCTGTTGTGACCTCCTGATCCAGTTTTCCTCTCTACTGATCCTTCTTTTTAAACTTATTCACCGTTCTCTTGATGGTTCTTGAATGGACTTTGAAGATGGAAACCAGAGTATGAATGTTGGTACCGTTACTGATGGCCTGAATTAACCTTTTTTTACCATTGGTCACTTGGGAAGACATAGTGGGGGTGACATAAAACGATTTTAATCTGTTCTCTTTCTAGCTGAATACCTCAAAGGGTTTTTCGAGTGATTCCCACGACAAATGGTGTCAAGATGGCTAAACGTCTTATCTGAAAACCTGGAAAAAATCAAATAGTTTCGTTGTTTTTTGGGGGGGTTTTTTGTGTGTTTTTTTTAGATATTAAACATTTTTGTGGGATGGACAATTTTGCTGTTACACGATTTGGACAATTTTGCTCTTACAACCTATATAGAGAAATATGTAGAGTTTATGGTTAAGGAGGTGATGACTGACCTGTAATTACGGTAATTGGTTTTTCCAAAGTTTTGTTCTGGAGAAACGTCGTTGGAAGATACCAAGTTCGAATTCCTGTCGACTTACGTGCTAAAACCCCTAAGAAATATATGAATCCCTTTCTCCTTCCCCCCAGCTATGGTTAAATAGTAGGACAGACTGGATTCTAGAGCCTTGGGTGGCTAGGAGAAAGAAAAACTCTGAATTCAAAACCAACCTAGAGAGGGTTAAGCCTTGTCAGGCTATCTTGCCCCGAAAACAACACTGCTACAGCTGCAGCAACATATACGATTCCCCGACGAACCGAGAGGCCTACGGCTTTTAAAAAAATGGTATTTGGGTTCTAGCAAGAAAATAACGCGATAAAGACATATGTAGAGTTTATGGTCAAGGACTGGTGATTGACTGCTAAATACGAAATTGGTTTTTCCAAAGTTTCGTTCTGGAGAAACGCCGTTGGAAGATGAACCGATACCGTTTATCGTAATTTGATGATGATGCCCTGAAGTCCTTAGTAGAAAGTTCACGGTAATTAGCAGCGAGCACATAACAATCTACCATATGCCGACACTTAGATAACATAGGCAAAGTCAACAAACTGGAAGAGATGATAGATAGATAGATAGATAGATAGATAGATAGATAGATAAGATATATAAAGATAGATATGAACAGATGAGATAGATAGATAGATAGATAGATAGATAGATACATAGATAGATAGATAGATAGATAGAAGAGACAAACATAATACAAACTAAAACATACACAATGTACAGATAGATGCATAAATGCTTACAAAGATAGACAGACAGATAGAGGCATATATACATACGCACATAGATAGATAGATAGATAGATAGATAGATAGATAGATAGATAATGAACAGGACGAGATAGATAGATAGATAAAGATATAGATAGATAGAAAGATTGATGGATATGAACAGACTGATAGATAGATAGATAGATAGATAGATAGATAGATAGATAGATAGATAGATAATCGACAGCCTGTAATGGATAGATAATGAACTGACTGGGACAGATAGATAGATAGATAGATAGATAGATAGATAGATAGATAGATAATAAACATATTCCTAAAGATTGATGGATATGAACACACTGAGATAGATAGATAGATAGATAGATAGATAGATAGATAGATAGATAGATAATGAACATATTGCTAAAGATAGATATGAACAGACTGAGATAGATAGATAGATAGATAGATAGATAGATAGATAGATAGATAATGAGCATATTGCTATAATACATAGATAGATATGAACAGACTGAGATACGTCGATAGATAGATAGATAGATAGATAATGAACATATTGCGATTGATAGATAGCTACGGAAATTTTTGACCGAGCCCACGTGCTCGGTTATCCCCACATTAAATTTGGCCTTGTGCCACATCCTACCTCGTGGGGAGGCAGGTAATATGCTATCCAAGTAGTCTGTCACAAACAGTGGTTTACCTAGTTCACGCCGCTGGCGAGTATTATATTTTGCTGATGTTATAAAGATGACCATTACATTTCCAACCTCCGTTTTGTTTATTTCTCATTCAATAAGCCTTTTTGGGGCTACAACAGGCACAATACCCAAAAGGTGTTTACAGGATGCCCCAGAAGTGACACTATTTAAAAGTTAAGATATTTCCAGCATTTTCTTTCATGTTCCTGTACGGCTTTCATTACTGATTTCTAACTTTAAGAAATCAGCACTCGAATCTTGAAATCTAAAAAGAAAAAGAAACCACGACAAAAAAAGGAGAAAAAGGAAAACAAAAAAAAAAAAGAACAAACAAGTAAACAAAGAATAAAAGAAAAAAAAAGGAACGAAAAAGAAAATCAAGAAAAATAAAAGAATTTAATTCTTAACGTCTCACGCGCTACGAAGCCATAGTAAATGCATAGTGGGTCTAACAAAGAATAGCTTCTCTCCATTCAGTCTTTTTATTTGTTTAAATTCTCCTTTGCTAGATCGCGAGGTAAGAAGTACATGCCCATCACTATGCAGAAATACCAACAAATATCTGTCTTCCTTTGCAGCCATTATTTCCATGTAAAGTTTACTACTTGAGATTTTGGGGCCATTTTCTTGTACATCTGAGACAAGCTATCCACAAAATTTACATCACTTGTATAATCATTGAACTATACAATTAAAAAAAAATATATCTAATTGCAAGTTGTGATAGAGATACCTCTCACACATACCTCCCAGAAATACCTCCCAAGGCGTTAGCTAGATGAAGATACCATTGCAACTAAGGTCTTACCATTATGTGGGAGGTATTTTAGGGAGGTATATATGGGAGGTATTTCTGCCGCAGCCTGGATAATGAATTCACCACCTTTTATTTTATTTTATTTAATAAATTTATTTAAAAACAAAATATGCGGCCTTTATGGCGGAGGGGGCTTTACTTACTTCACAAGTCCTTGGGACAGCGATCTCCAAGCATTTTGAATCATGGACCGCTTTTATTCAGAACAATTTTCCATGGAACAGTGGTGGGGCGGTGTTTGTCCCCCGCATAACAAAATACAATAGACAAGACCATGATAGTCAATAAAATGGCGAAAAAAATGTTTATTCTTTCTGTGTGGCCTGGTACCAAATGGTTCACGACCCGGTACCAAATGGTCCAGGGATCGGTATCAGATGGTCCACGGTCCGGTACTAGATTTTCCACGGCCTGGTACCAAATGGTGCACGGTTCGGTACCAAATGGTCCACGGCTCGGTACCAAATCATCCAGGGATCGGTATCAAATGGTCCACGATCCGGTACTAAATGGTCCACTGCCTGGTACCAAATAGTGCACGGCTCGGTACCAAGTGGTCCACGACCCGGTATCAAATGATCCAAGGGTTGTTACCGAATGTTCCACGTCCCGGTACCAAATGGTCCGGGATCGGTATCAAATGGTCCACGGTCCGGTACGTAGATTGTCCACGGCCTGGTACCAAATGGTCCACTGGGTTCGGTACCAAGTGGTCCACGACCCGGTATCAAATGATTCCGGCTCGTTACCAAAATAGATCCAAGGCTTGTTACCAAAATAGT